CTCAGTGTGTGTGTAGTACTCAGTGTGTGTGTAGTACTCAGTGTGTGTGTAGTACTCAGTGTGTAGTACCTGTGTAGTATCCCGGGGCCAGTACTTCATCCTGTTTGTAGTTCTGTTCTCCAACCAGCTGTCGTAGAGCCTCAGCAACCAGACCTTTATAACTGGTGGGAGACAAAATGATCAGAACCAGAGGAACCAGTCTCAAGATCCAGTCACAGGCTGTTCAAACACACTTGATTACAAGAAAGAATAATTCCTGCTGAAATGAACCCCATTAAGTCTGATACCCGTCACCTGGAGTGTATACCTGTGTATACTTGTGTACAGGCTGTGTTACCTGTACTTGCGGTTGACCTCATCAGCAGTCAGGGCGTGGTCAAACATCAGGACCTTGTGGGCGTCCTGCAGCCGTGGTCCGGTGTACTCTCGGTACTCCAGCTCCACAGCAGCATCCAGCAGAGAGAGGTACCGCCGGACTATCGGAGCGTAAGGACTGTCTGTGGAACACAGGAGAACACCAGACATGTACTTGCACCTCAAAGGCTCTCTCTCGGTTGAGTTGTACCGGTTGTGTTTTGGTACTGACTGGTGACGTTGCTGATGAAGGCGGAGGAGAAGACTCTGTGCAGCACCAGGCCGGGGAAGTGTCCCAGCTGGAACAGAGACATGAGGATGTTGACGGTGGCGAGCGGCGAGCTGAGCGCCTTCAGCTCTACCACCTCCTCCAACCGAGAGAAGAACTGCTCCTCATTGGATGGACGGTAGCTCATCCTGCTGAACGGGAACACCAGCTTCTGGATCACCTGAGGACACGCAGACAGACACACCTGCAGTCCTGTTCGCCAACACCGAAAACCAAATGAGCGCCTGTCCGGTCCTCACCTTACTGTCCAGGTACTCCGCCTTCTTCACCAGAAAGTCTGCAATGGTGTCGAGCAGCAGAGTCTCTCTCAGCCGATGGCGGGCGATGTATTTGGCAATCAAAGCCATCGTGTATGGAGTGATGCTGTCCACCTTCTTAGGCAACTCCTCTGCCAGAGAGCAACAAGTCACGTCATCAATATAGGGTTTCCCACAGAGCTGTGCTCCATGGTGGGGTTCAGGTTTAAGGTGGGGTTCAGGTTCATGGTGGGGTTCAGGTTCAAGGTGGGGTTCAGGTTTTACGGTGGGGTTAAGTAAGGAGAAAGACTAACTGATTGGAAACATCACAATGGAAACATGATCAAGAAAGTTTAGTTGAACCAGTGAGGACTCAACATAGTGGTTTGTTCTGGTTTGGGTTCTAACTGAACATCTTTGCTCTTTCTAATTCACAAAGATCAAGTCTTTTAGCTGCCAGATGTGAACCCAGCTGTGAATCCAGATGTGAACCCAGGTGTTATAAGAACTCTACCAAACCTCACCTGCCAGGCTGCTGATGAACCTCTCCTGTCTGTTCTGGTAGAACAGGTGAGAGCTGAATATCAACTCCAGACTCTTGTTGCTCGCCTCCCGAACACACGCCGCCAACATCTCATCCAACAGCGCCATCTCCTGGTCACGAACACCGCTGACACTCGCTAAGGTGTGTTTGACCAGACGCAAGATCTTCCTGAAGGACACCGAGACAAGAAGTCGTTAATGTAACTTTAAAGGGAAATGGATCTATTGGAGGCGTGTTGTTATTGTTAGCTAAACTATGCTAAACTATGCTATAGGCTAACCGCTTGTTGAACAGCAACCTCTCACCTGTTGGCGAGCAGCTGTTCAGGGTTTGCAGGCGTGTTGCTATTGTTAGCGGTGGCGGTGTTAGCGCCCCCTGTGGCAGCGACGGGCTCCTGCGGCTGCAGCGAGCGCCACTTGAGTCGGTAGTACGAGAGCAGCAGGAACAGCGTCTGCGGGTGGCGCTCTCGCTCCAGGTTCTTCTCCAGACCGGCCAGGCAGGCCTCGGTCAGAGGGTGCTGGATGCCCATGTGGAGCTTCATGCTGGAGCTGAACACCATGGACACGTCCTTCTGGTTGAACTGGTTCAGTCTGGACTGAGACTCCACCTCCAACACCTGGACCACCTGAGAGTCACTGGGTAGACCTGAAGAGACCACAAACACCATTATCCATCAGACCGCTTCAGACGGACCACATTGGACCACCTCAGACAGACTACATCGGATCACTTCAGACCTCCTCAGACAGACCATGTAAGACCACCTCAGACAGACCACATCAGACCACATGATGACGTCGCACGTAAAGGCGGACTCACCGAGCGCGGCGACGGCGTACAGACAGTTGACGATGCTGAAGTTGTCGAACTTGGCGCAGTCGTTGACGATGGCGTCACAAAGCGTGTGGAAGTCCTGATGCTCCAGGACGTCCCGTCCGTCACCTCCTCCTACTGGAGCCTCGGGGTTGCCCCCCCCCGCCCCGTGCCGGGGGCGTGGCCTGTAGCAGCTGACCGATCTTCTGCAGAGCCACAGGGTAGTGGTTGTGGGAGACCTTGGAGGGGTTCTGGGTGACCCATCGGAGAACCTCGTCGGGACGCCGTGAGCGCTCGATCAGACGCTTCATGGTGAAGAACGTGTCGTAGCTCATCTTCTCGTGGATGAAGTTCCACGTCTTCTTCTTGCTGCCAGCAGCGGCGGGGGGGGGCGGCCCCTCCAGCCGGAGCTCCGCCTCCATATGTGTGGAAGTGGTGCTGATAGTGGGGGGGCAGGAGAGGCGGAGCCAGGTGGGCGTGGTAGTGGGGGTGGAAGTGAGCTCCACGAGGGGCCTCGGGGCGACCCTGGTACAAAGGGTAGGGAGGGGGGTGGGGTGGGGGTGGCGCCTCAAGCCCCACCCTCCGCCCATGTTTGACTCCTCCCCCTCCTCCTCCCCCCGTGCTGTTGTAGAGACGGGTTGTGTACATGTTGACTGACTGGGAGGCGGGGCGGGAGGGGCGATGAGCTCTGCTCAGGAGGAGGAGCCACCTAGTGGACAAACACTGCATAGTCCTACAGACAGGACACATGGAGGTATAACACTCCTACAGGAGGAGGAGGGGGAGAAGAGGAGGAGGGAGGGGATATCAATGGATGACCAACAGCTCTAAAGATCACTGACTAACAGAATGAAACTTATTTAAATAAAATAATTTCATTGTGAGTCAACAAAACTTAAACTGGATCAATACCCAGAATCACAATCAGCAACTCTCAATTGATTGATGTCTCTGTTCACCTGTCTGTGTCTCTGTTCACCTCTCTTCCTGCTCACCTGTCTGTCTTCCTGTCCTTCCTCCTGCTATCATAACCTGACAGCTGCACACAGCCCCGGCCAACATGCTAGCATTAGCATCTAGTGCGTTATTTAGCCGATTAAACCTCACGGATATGATCCGATGACGTCCTGCTGGATTTGACTCTCGTGTGGTGGATTTATTTCTTCTTTTGCTAATCAAGCAGCTGATAAACGTCTGCTAGCTTCATGGCAGCTTGCAGCCCGGCTAGCTATAGCATATCAGAGGATTCAAACGTGACAGAAGCCATAAAACAACTGGGACAACATGCTGCAGAGAAACTAAACCAACACAAGCTAACCGAGGCTACAGGCTAAACTAACCTAAAGCAAGCTAACCGAGGCTACAGGCTAAACTAACCTAAAGCAAGCTAACCGAGGCTACAGGCTAAACTAA